TGCTGTTGTTGGCTGGGCATCTTCGTCACCTTTATCTTCCTTGCGTTCATCTGATGTTCCGTCTTCGCTACCCTGCCTCTTCTGCCAACTTGTTAGTTTTCGCCTGTAGATCTTTGAGTTTGTGCGCTTTAGGCATTAGACATAAATCATCATCGGCGAAATCCAAATCTTCTAGGCTCTTTTCATCGTTCAGACAGTGTACGCCTGCTTCTCGCTCCTCACGGTTTGTTGCATGATCCAGTCCACCACAGTCAGGAAGATCGTCTGTGATAGTAGGAAGCCTTGTCTCACTCCTGTCTTCACTTCAAAGGGATTGATGAGCTTTCCATTGTGGATCACTTGGCATATAGCTCGACATACAGCTGTTGAATGAGGTTGGTGAAGATTTGTGGCACTAAAACCGTAGTGTTTAAGCAGCTGCCTGCCAAATTACTTCCCGGTCGATGCTGTCGACGGCCTTTTCAAAGTCGATGAAGTTGAGGTAGAGGGTTGACTGCCATTCTACACTTTGTTCTATGATGATGCGTAGCGTTGCAATTAGATCCGCACATGATTTGTACTTCCTGAAGACAGCCTGTTCCGGTCGCAATTTTTAATCCAGTACATGCTTTAGTCCCTCTAAGATGAAATGGCTTAATATTTTTCGCCAGTTCTTGCCAAGACTTAGGTCTTCCTTCTTTGGAAGTTTGACAAGGTAACCCTTCTTCCAATCTGCAAGTACCTTCCCTTCCTTCCTTCCTTCCAAACCTTCTGTAATAGTGGTGTGAGTATGTCCGTTGCTGATGCCTCTGCATCTGTTTCAGTGCTTCTGGGGGGATCCCATCTAGTCCTGCTGCTTTCCCGAATTTCAGCAGTTTTGTGGCATTCAGGACTTCTGCTTTTGTCGGATGGCCTGTGTTCACTGGTAGTTCTGCTGTTGCTGGTGGTATTTCCGGACGAGTTGTTGGTGGTGGTCGATTCAAGAGCTTTTTGAAGTGGTCAGCCCATCTTTTCCTTTGTTTCTCCTCTTTGGTGGCGACTAAGTTCCCTTCACTATCTTTCATTGGTTTCGTCTGAGTTGATCTCTTCCCTCTGAGATAGTAACCTGGTTATTTGATACAATGTTGTCAGGTCTCTCCTAGTAGCAGCCTGTTCTGCTTCACTTGCCAGTGTGTCGTGGAAGTGTCTATTGTCTTTGTGCGCACTCTTCACTTCTTTGTCCAGTGTTTTATACATTGTAGTCACTTCCTCTTCTCGTCGTTCATCTTTGCACTGGTTTATCTGCTGCTTCACCATCCTCCTCTCCTCTATCAGTTTCCATGTGTCCATCGAGATCCATTCCTTATCTTCTTTCTTCCTAACACGGTTGTGCAAGTTTCTTTCCACATAGCTTTCAAAGAGTTCCAGTGCTCATCCACACAGGTTTCTTCGGGGATGTTGCTCGATATCTCCCATTTTGTTTTGATGGCTGACGTGAAGATGTCGTTTGTAGTTTTGTCCTTTAGTTTCTGTTGTGGGTGTTGAACTTGAACTGCGGTCTATCACCAGCTTCCTTGAAGGCTTTCAACTTGATTTTGAAGGTAGGTGGGTTCCTTGCACTAGACAGTGAGTGGTGTGAGCCTACATCTGCTCCTCTTCTTGACCTTGTGTCAAGTAGGCTGCGTCTCCACTTTCTTCAGATTGAGATAAAGTCGATCTGATTTTTAGTGTGTCCTGGTGTCTGGTGAAATCCATGTCGTTTTGTGGATATCCTTGTGCTTGAACACAGTGCCTCCAACCACCAAATCGTTGAACGCACAGAATTTTGCAAACAGTTCTCCATTCTCGTTCATTTCGCCGAGCGCTTCTCGATCCATGATTAGTTCTCTTCCTGTGTTGTCCGCTCCGAATTTGGCATTCATGTCGCCCATTAGAATTTTGATGTCGCCAACTGAGGTCTTGTCCAGTGTTGATTGCAGTTGTCTGTAGAATTCCTCCTTCTTCTCTTGATCTGCATTATTTGTAGGTGCGTAGCATTGTATGATCGTGACTTTCCTTCCTTTTGAGTTGAACCTTGCTGTTATGATCCTGGAGGAGATTGGTTCCCACTGTATGAGAGCCTTTGATGGTCTTGGGGACGTCATGATAGTCACTCCGTCAGTGTGCTCGTGGTTGTCTTTTGGGTGGGAATATCGGAGTAGATTATTGACTCTGCAGTTGACAGTTTGGAGAGTCCACTTCCATTCCATCTGCTTTCGCAAATTCCTTGCACTTCCATGCCATACCTTCTCATCTCCTTTGCAATCTGGACAGCCTTGCTAGGTTGAAACATGGTGCGGACATTCCATGTCCCCACGTTTACTTTCGCTTTCATCAAGAGAAGAGAAGACATATCGGCCAATTGGCTTCCCGAAGGCTTTCACCAACTGGCGTCAATACGCCTCTGCGATTCCAGCGGAGAATGAGTTTGTTATATATACTTTTTGTGTGCTTTGAATTTTTTTTAGCTATTCGATTTGTTTTATGGTGTGGGGTTGCTGGCCTTACGCACACAGCCTTCCGTCTCTATGTGGGCTTAGGTCTGGCAAGTAAAGTACTGAACTAGTAAACTAGGCGAGGTTATTAAGAAGCGTAGTTTCACCAAAGCCGTTGTAGGGTGTAATGTGGCTGAATTGGAACTGAGGCGTTGTTGATTGCAGACAACCAGGAACCTGGAGTCAATACTTTGTTTGAAACACTTAATCGTATAACTGTACTGAGAAGTGTAACTGATATATTCGGGCCAGTATTCGTAGCAAAGTAATGAAACCAGCTGCTACAAGGTGATTATCTATGATGAAGTGGTAGTCTTTTCCTAATATTTTCTACTATATGAAAAACTGAGTCTATTGTTAGCGTTCAAGTTTCATGCACTAGTTATTCACTCATTTATTCACATGCGTTTTATCGATTCGTTTACCAATTAAAAATTGAAAAGAGAAAAGAAAAGTGAACTAATCAATTTGAAATATACAAATGACCTTTTACTAGGCTATACCTATATTTCAAGTAGAAGTAAAGTGTAATCATATAATAGTAGTAACGACATTTTATCATGAATTCACCACTTTTTTGCGAAGACCCTATCTTTGAACTTCTTTTTTTAACAGCATTTCTAATTTTATCATTTTCTGTCTTAATTTTTACCCTTATCTCTCCGGCTATTTATAAACGTTGTTACTGAGGTGAACAAGTTTTCCTTTAGAGAGAACTCATTACTTATCGAGAAAGGTGGATTGAAAATTCGGAAACAGATACATTGCTAGATTTAAATTGATTGCATGTTAACTTCTTGTTAAGTGTGATTCGGTCTTGATATTAACAAGTTTCTGTTTGACATCGATCGCTAAAGACTATGAACAGTTGTTTTTTATGAATGAAAAGTACATGATTGCATAGTTTTTTTATCACATCAGGTTTTGAATTACCACTTCTCTTTCTGATCTGGAATAAGTTTTGGTTGTCAGAATCTGTTATACTACTTGAGGATTATTGGAGAAGATTATTCGAAGTGTCAGAAAAAGCCGTAGGTTTTTTGTTTGACTTACCAGAATAGCAGAAATTGGCCATCACTGACACAAACAAGATGAGTGTTTCACGTGCTCTGAAAATCTTATTTTACTAATCTTGTTTTTCTGAATAAAACAAGGTTTACTCTTTTCAACGTTTATGTTCATTCCGAGCTACTGCAAGTTAAATACTGATTGGTGTTAGTTCACAATCGAAATGAGGTTGGTCGGACTAAGTAGCAATTCATAAGGTTGCTTATTATTGGTCTGAGCTGTAGAAGGAAGCATAAACGTCCAGGATGGGGGTCATCAAGATGTTGAGAACCAGTGGTTAGAGATCTTAGTTGATATGAACAATAACTATGTGTGTTTACTATCTATCACCGAAGTCATGGATTCCATTACTTGATACTCATTTGCCGCCTCTTCACTCATGTTTTATGTATTAAATAAAATATCCGACACATATTTTGTGTTGCGTTCTATGTTGCTGCATCTGTTCGTTTGACTGTAAATAAACCTGGATTGTGCCATTCATTTAGCTGTCGACTTATGTGTTTAGTATGAAACTATATCGACTATGATAGTCAATAGATTTCAAACTCATTTCTTTCATTATTTTATGCATATGTATCAATGATAAATACATGATTGTTTACCTCTCATTGTTCGTCTACTTAACCTATACTAGATGAGATCAAGTTAACTATTTAACATTCATTGTTTTATTATTCTTGTGGTGAGTATGTGGTTTGCATGTTAACTAATATTGGGTGAAATGAAAATCTGGGCCGCGGCCGGATTCGAACCAGCGACCGCCTGGTTTTTGCCCCGCTGCTCTACCAACTGAGCTACGAGGTCTGACTGTCGAATGGATTTTTGTTTAACTTAAATCATTATTATCAGTATAACTTTTCCACACACTAAGCTTCACTAACTACGAATGTTCATAAATTTATTCCCAGTGTAGATATAATCGCTTCCTGTGGCATTAAAGCGTATATTGCTTTATAACAAATGTAGAGTGACTCCAAAATTCACTACTGAAATAACCAGTCAGGTTTTTTCATTTTATATAAACCGAAAAAAATAAGGAAGCCTGATTGGTTATTTCAGTGGTAACTGAGACAACCTTCAGAGCTTTTTTTCTTCAAAAATACTTAATTACGAATCACACTGGCTATCTCAGAGTCAATTTTACCATATGAAAATAAGTAAATGGTCGGTTGCATTACGTAAAGTATTGTGTTGAACGTTAGTTAGATACCTGACCCTGTGAGTTATATGATCACAGTCGATTGCAAATTTTCAAGAGTACTTATGCATAATAATTTTCGTTTTAAAGCACTAACCAACCATATCATCAATTCGTAAGGTATAGGTTGTTTCCACCAGTCACAACCAACTGTTTAGTGTGACCAGTATACCTCTGTACATATATGTATAGAGGGTATGTGTATATGTATAGAGTAACCACTTTACATACTTTTTTAGGAATGCTGTGTAATTAGTGACGAGTTGAACCATACAAGTCTTGTTCTTGGTTGTCGTTTGACTGGAGCGACAGTTCATCGTTTCAAGCACAATGATATGGAAGATTTGGAAAGAATTCTACAAGATTCTGTTGTTTATGGGCGGCCACGTACACATCGTCCATATAAAAAAATCCTGGTTGTAGTTGAAGGTATTTACAGGTAAATGATTGTATTGAGTAATATTTTGTCATAATTTGTTAGTTAAATATTTCAAATACATTTTATCAGATCAGTAAATCTGTAGGTGTTTCATTTACTCATGTCCTGGTTTGGGAGTTGTTGAATTGTACTAAAACAGTTTGAGTTTTACGCTCAAAATCCCGAGATACACCATCGGGTTGGTCACTGTCAGAGCTATTCCCAAACAGCATTGTCATCATCCTGACGTTGATGACAGTGAATGTATTTGTTCAACCTTGATGTAATGGGTGAGCTGACATATTGCAATAACCTAGTGAGCTATCCTAGGTGAAACGATTGTTTCTTGAGATCTTACCAAGCCAGAAAGGTGTATTATACAGTGGTTTGAGTGAAAACTCTTACTATCACTTCACTAAGACACACTGGTGTGAATCCATAGGGGATGCAGTAGTTATCCGCAATCGTTGTAAAAGAAATCAAGTGCTTTTCGTGGATGACCAGCATTCTTGTTGGTACCGTATTTCCACTCTGGGTAGGAAGAGTTAGAAAAGGTTAGCCCTAACAACAGCAGGCTCCTAGAGAAGTGTTGACACTTAGTTCTTTGCTAAAAAGAATCGGCCTTTTCTGTCATTGACACCTAATTGTTTTCAAATTTCTCTCTTAGTTCTACTTCTATCTCTAAAGCTCATGAACAGTATTCTCCGTTTCCTGAAACGTCCCTCTAGACTACACATCGGAGATTTCATTGTTCGCACCCTTCTTCAGATAGGTAAATATACCTCTCTGGTCGAAACTCTAGCATTTTAGGCTATGAACTTGTGCAATGTTTGTGAAACATGTACCGAGAACCTGAGTGTGGCTGTTCTGTCGACATCACCTGACGAGTGGAGTGAATCTGCCAAATTTACCCTTCGAGTTTCTGGAGATTCCTCGGCTAGTTCGTGCAGTGTTGAACTGGTAGTTACAACATTAAGTCCTAAGGCTGAAAATCTGCTACTCGACTGGACAGAGCAGTAAGCAATTGAGAGGTATGTAGTTGTCTCTTTTTAATGTGCTTATGTCGCACTCCACTGACTGAAGATTGAATTGAGCGAAATATGCGTTATACCGTAAACGTTCTACCCTCCTACTGTGAAAGTCAAACGTTCAGCCTTGATGACCGTAGCGGGAGATCTCGATATACAAGACGAGAAGCTTAGCCAGACAGAAAGTCACTTAGGTGCTACTTTGATAATCCTTACTCAACTCACTCAATGGTGAGTCTCTGTCATAATTGTGCTTATTTATTATTCTTATTATTTGTCCCTTGGGTTCCTAATGGAACATAGGACTTCAGCAGCACGTCTCCAGTGCACTCTGTTCTCTGCAAACTTTGAACCTGGCTCCACGACAGCCAACAAGCTCTCATTTCTTCCTCGCACCATCTCCTCCATGTCATCCTTGGACGCCCAACTCGTCGCTTCCCATGGGGGTTCCACTCGAGCAACTGGCCTGACGCGTGATGTCCCCAGTCGGTCTTCTCAGTGCATGTCCAATCCATCTCCACTTCCTTCTGCATATCTGTTCGGAGATGGGTTCTTGGTTGGTTGGTTGCCAGGGCGAGTTCCTTGTTGCTTATTATTTCTGGCCATCTGATCTTCAGTAACGAGCCAGCGTAGGTAGTTATTGATGAATGTCTGTAGTTTGTTGGAAATCCCTTTCGTGACGCGCCAAGTCTCTGGGTCATACAGAAGCACTGACTTGACGTTGGTGTTGAAAATCCGGATCTTCTTCCACATGCCGAGTGCAGAAGATCTCCACACTGGTTTCAGGTTAGTGAACACCTGTCTTGCTGTCTTTCCGATCCTGGCTTTGACGTCATCGTCTGTGCCGCCTGCAGTTGAAACAGTGCTGCCTAGGCTAGGTAGCTGAAAGAGACAACTTCCTTTAAGTTTCTCCCATTGATGGAGATTGGAGCTTGTTGTTGTTGTTGGTTGGGTATCTTCATCACTTCTGTCTTCTCTATATTCACCTGAAGTCCCGCCTTCGCTGCCTCTCCTGCCAACTTGTTAGTTTTTGCCTGAAGATCTTCAAGTTTGTGTGACATTAGAGACAAGTCATCGGCGAAATCCAAATCTTCTAGGATATTTACCCGGTCCGGCGTATCCCCCTCTTCTCGCTCCTCACTGTTTGTTGCATGATCCAGTCCACTACAATCAGGATGGGTGATAGTAGACAGCCTTATTTTACTCTTTCCTGTCTTCACTTCAAAAGCATCACTGAGCTTTTCATTGCGAATTACTTGGCCTGTGACGTCTTCATATAGTTGTTGAAGCAACTGCCAAATTACTTCTCGGTCGACTCTGTCAAAAGCCTTTTCAAAGTCGATGAAGTTGAGGTAGAGAGTTGACTGCCATTCTATGCTTTCTTCTATGATGATGCGTAGCGTTGCAATTAGATCCGCACATGATTTGTACTTCCTGAAGACAGCCTGTTCCGGTCGCAATTTTTAATCCAGTACATGCTTTAGTCCCTCTAAGATGAAATGGCTTAATATTTTTCGCCAGTTCTTGCCAAGACTTAGGTCTTCCTTCTTTGGAAGTTTGACAAGGTAACCCTTCTTCCAATCTGCAAGTACCTTCCCTTCCTTCCTTCCTTCCAAACCTTCTGTAATAGTGGTGTGAGTATGTCCGTTGCTGATGCCTCTGCATCTGTTTCAGTGCTTCTGGGGGGATCCCATCTAGTCCTGCTGCTTTCCCGAATTTCAGCAGTTTTGTGGCATTCAGGACTTCTGCTTTTGTCGGATGGCCTGTGTTCACTGGTAGTTCTGCTGTTGCTGGTGGTATTTCCGGACGAGTTGTTGGTGGTGGTCGATTCAAGAGCTTTTTGAAGTGGTCAGCCCATCTTTTCCTTTGTTTCTCCTCTTTGGTGGCGACTAAGTTCCCTTCACTATCTTTCATTGGTTTCGTCTGAGTTGATCTCTTCCCTCTGAGATAGTAACCTGGTTATTTGATACAATGTTGTCAGGTCTCTCCTAGTAGCAGCCTGTTCTGCTTCACTTGCCAGTGTGTCGTGGAAGTGTCTATTGTCTTTGTGCGCACTCTTCACTTCTTTGTCCAGTGTTTTATACATTGTAGTCACTTCCTCTTCTCGTCGTTCATCTTTGCACTGGTTTATCTGCTGCTTCACCATCCTCCTCTCCTCTATCAGTTTCCATGTGTCCATCGAGATCCATTCCTTATCTTCTTTCTTCCTAACACGGTTGTGCAAGTTTCTTTCCACATAGCTTTCAAAGAGTTCCAGTGCTCATCCACACAGGTTTCTTCGGGGATGTTGCTCGATATCTCCCATTTTGTTTTGATGGCTGACGTGAAGATGTCGTTTGTAGTTTTGTCCTTTAGTTTCTGTTGTGGGTGTTGAACTTGAACTGCGGTCTATCACCAGCTTCCTTGAAGGCTTTCAACTTGATTTTGAAGGTAGGTGGGTTCCTTGCACTAGACAGTGAGTGGTGTGAGCCTACATCTGCTCCTCTTCTTGACCTTGTGTCAAGTAGGCTGCGTCTCCACTTTCTTCAGATTGAGATAAAGTCGATCTGATTTTTAGTGTGTCCTGGTGTCTGGTGAAATCCATGTCGTTTTGTGGATATCCTTGTGCTTGAACACAGTGCCTCCAACCACCAAATCGTTGAACGCACAGAATTTTGCAAACAGTTCTCCATTCTCGTTCATTTCGCCGAGCGCTTCTCGATCCATGATTAGTTCTCTTCCTGTGTTGTCCGCTCCGAATTTGGCATTCATGTCGCCCATTAGAATTTTGATGTCGCCAACTGAGGTCTTGTCCAGTGTTGATTGCAGTTGTCTGTAGAATTCCTCCTTCTTCTCTTGATCTGCATTATTTGTAGGTGCGTAGCATTGTATGATCGTGACTTTCCTTCCTTTTGAGTTGAACCTTGCTGTTATGATCCTGGAGGAGATTGGTTCCCACTGTATGAGAGCCTTTGATGGTCTTGGGGACGTCATGATAGTCACTCCGTCAGTGTGCTCGTGGTTGTCTTTTGGGTGGGAATATCGGAGTAGATTATTGACTCTGCAGTTGACAGTTTGGAGAGTCCACTTCCATTCCATCTACTTTCGCAAATTCCTTGCACTTCCATGCCATACCTTCTCATCTCCTTTGCAATCTGGACAGCCTTGCTAGGTTGAAACATGGTGCGGACATTCCATGTCCCCACGTTTACTTTCGCTTTCATCAAGAGAAGAGAAGACATATCGGCCAATTGGCGTCATTTCGCCTCTCCGATCCCAGCGAGGAACAATATTGTTTTTATTTTTCATATTTCGTTTGTGCTTTGAAGTTTCTTCAGCTGTTGGATTTGTTTTACGGTATAGGGTTGCTAGCCCTACACCCAACCTTCCCTCTTTACCCGGGCTTAGGACCGGCTAGTATTTAGTGAGCGAGTTAACCAAGCGATGACTTATTTCTGGTGAGTACGAATTTGTTAAATAGGAATGGAGAGAGATATTTTTTGACTTCACTATTCAACAATGAATATTGAAAACCCGTACTTTTACTAGTCATCCTTGCAGAGGGAATCGTTGGGAGATTTCCACTCCTTCTGTTGCACATGTTTGTATGGTGAATCAGACTGTCGTCGGTGCATGTTTACTGCTGCGTCAAATTGGATGTATGACAAATGCAGTAAATGCTTATTCATCTAGGAGGCGGTCTGCTTGAACTCTGGACTACCGTTTTCTATCATCGAGTATATTGCATAAAATTTCTTATTTCTATGTTGTTTTAATCGTTTAATTATGTCAACCAATCGTATTGTATATTCTCGCGCGTTTTTAAAATCATTACAACCTATCGCTTCGCAAGTTGATAGGAAATTTAAGAAGAAGCACCACGGTGGATGGCAACGAGCTCTGAAGCGTATGACCATAGATCAAATGACTATTCCGGAAATACTTAGCACAAACTGCAGGTCGTTGCCGAATAAAGTTGATTACCTTCAGTCACTCTTGTCCACAAATGTTTAT